CTCTTCAGACAAATTGGAGACGTCAGGAGACGGATTACGGCATTTTGCACAGACTGGGTAGGAGCTGTCTCTTATACACATCTAGATGTGTATAAGAGACAGAAGCCGGCCCCCGGCTCAGCACAAGCTTAAGAGTCCTTCCATCATATCTCTGTCTCTTATACACATCTAGATGTGTATAAGAGACAGATATAAGGTGGGCGGGGTCGCCTCCCCCCCGAGTACTCACACACACACACACAAACGGGCGCACCCTTTTTTTTTTTTTTTTTTTTTTTTTGATTGATTGATTGATAGAAGGTGGGGGCGGTCGCCTCCCCCCCACGAGTACATACTCACGCACACACACACACACACACGTACACACACACAGATACACACACACATACACACACACACACACAGATACACACACACACACATACACACACACACACACAAAGTCATGCTTTTTTTAGTGTACAACAAATATGACAACACACACACACACATACAGACAAATACGCGCGGCCTTTTTTTTTTCTTCTTTTTTTCTTTTGATTGATTGATTGAAATGAAGTGGAGGGGATTTCCTCTCCCCTGCAAACACACATACACACACACGCACACCCACACACATACACACACACACACACATACACATGCACACACACACACACACACACACACACACACGCATACGCACACGCACGCACACGCATGTGGGGCTACTGCCTGTTTTGTCTTTCCACCAAATTCTTTTTTTTTCTTATTTTTTTCTCTTTTTTTGTTTTTGAATTTTTAAAAATCCTTTATAAGGCAATATATATATATATATAAATATAAGGTTGTGGATCTCGAAAAGATCTACAAACCCATATTTTTATTTTTAATTTTTAATTTTTGTTTGTCCCTAAAACATTGGATGAATGTTATGGCTAAACGACCACTGGATTCAAGGATAATTTGGGCGACCGGGTAGTTGGGTATAACTACATTTTCACCCATCAACTACCATTTTGTCAAAATGGACGTGTTTCATTTTGTGAGTGAAATTAAAACCAAGTTTTTTTTTAATGAAAATTTGTCGAAATGTGCTGCCTTTGCGGGTTTGACGTTCTTAAACTACTTGAGCCCATAGATGTATGTGGACTTAGCTTGAAACCAGCTACTTCCAAGGGGAAACAGGACCTCATGGACGTATCGAGTCTCAAGCTAAATCCACATACAACACATGATTCGTGAAAACCCAACAACACGAAAAAACCCAACATTTTGTGTAAAGTGAAATATTAAAAGTCAAACAACTGTATCTGATAAAAAAAAACATCGTTTTGAACCTTTTCTCGAGAAGCGAGGCCAAAAACTGAGCAAAAAGTAAAATGTTTCGCAAAATGTCCAGGAAAATCATTTACCGAAAAAATCATGTTATAGGCAAGGCTACCAGCCGGGCCGCCCGGGTCACCTTGTGTTGCCCGTGCGGATGGTCTCAGCAAAAAAAAAAAAAAAAAAAAAAAAAAA